CTCCTTGCTATATATACTTGAATAAAAATCCCAGCTCCCAAGAGGGTAGACGTTAAAAAAAAAAAAAAAAAAAAAAACAAAACAAGAAAAGAAAGCTTAAAGCTATTGATAACACTTCAACTTCTATACCACCTACCACTAATTATGATATTTTGAAGAAAATCTTGGGGAAATAGCAAATTCTAGCTTACCTCTGAATCTGACAAAAATAATGTTACTACCTCAAATAACAACAAATCTGATCCAAATTCAGAACAACCTCTAACATGCAATTCTCTTACAAATGAACAAATTGAGCAGGTTCTGATCTAGAGCTCTACTATATTCAGCACAGTTTCTTCTACAATAAAACAATATAGGAAAATAAACAATCTGATCCTGTTAGAATCAAAATCCAAACTCAACTGTCTAGCAAATATCTTGTCTAATATGAAAATAGACTATAATATAACAAACTTAGATAGTAGAGACAATAAAAAGATCTATTCTATCGATATGGTGTTAGATAAACAGCCACAAACAAAAATATCATACAGCCAAGCAGTTAGCAAAGATCTTTCAAACAGGATCAGAAAGATTCCAAATAGATACTTCATCAATGATAAGGAAAAGAAATAGCAAGAATATATACAAGTAGCCTTAAAAAAAACCAGACAAGAAAGACTAGAGCCTTTTGATACAACAATCTGGACTTGTTCAAAGATTAAAAATACATTAACTTCACTGCATCCAAACTTTCTGTGCTAGGTTATGTTAATCATTGTCCTGATCTACAAATCAGATTTTAAGAATCAGGTGTAATGTAACATAATCAAAAAATTTCAAAACAAATGTTCGCTTTGTCCAAAATCGCTTATTTCTCAAGAATCAGTATAACAAACCACCTTTAGTGCTTTAACAAAAAGTTTTTCTTGAGTAATTTTACTATCCAGTAATTTAATATTTACTTCTTTCTAAACATTAACCTAACATTAATGAATTTTAAAATTTTTACTGTGCTACAATGATTGACATAACCTGGCACAGAAAGTTTGGGTGCAACTTCACTACAAGATCTTAAAGAATTAATCAAATACAAGCTTTCGACAAAACCTATCACTAATTATATTCCAACTGCAATAATAAAAAAATTTTTTCACCGGGATACAGCATTTTTTAGAAGCTTTACTCGAGTTTTTAGCGACTAGACTACAACACCAAAAAAAATTCAATAACCTATTTCTTAATACTCTGAAAACATATAAAAAACAATATGATATCCTAACCACAAATAAGAAAAACTAAGATCAGATCTTTAAACTACTGTGAGTAAAGCTAGCTCTGAATTATCTAACCAACCTAGACTTTAACTTTTTAAATATATAGGAAATTATAAGATATATTTTATTTAGCAGACTTTGCAAAAATCTCAAAATATCTTGATTTTTAGAGATAGAGAAGTTTTTTTAAAAACTGGTTTAAACCTGGTTTAAGAGATTAGTTATTTTTAAACTAGGTTTGGTTTTTGAAACCATTAAAAACCTGGTTTGATTATAGTTTTTAATAGTGACTTGTCACTATGTGACTCTATATGATCGACCAATTATATTTGAGATCAATAATTAGCATTAACTCTTTTGTTAAACTTTTGTATTTAGTGCTTTTCTTCCTATTAACTTCTCCTTTCAGATTTCTGATATAGTTATTTATAGTTATACATAGTGGTGATTTGCTTTTTTTTTAAATATTATTTCGAAGGTATTGTTTTTTTGCCTGATTTTTTTTTTTTTAGATATTGGTGCTTTTTCTTCATTATTTGTTTTTAGATTCTAGCTTTTGTTATTTTAGTATATATTGTCTTTTTACCTTTATTTTTTGAAAATCAAGTTTTTTTGTTACTAACTTCTACTTTTTTTAGATTTCAAACTTTACAATTTTGGTGCGTAAGTTTCAGGCTTTATCATTTTCGGTGATATTGTCTTTTTACTTTTATCTTTTGTTTTTTTTTTTAAATATTAATGCTTCTCGTTACTAACTTCTATTTTTGTTTTTTTGTTAGTTTTTTTTTAAAAATATTAATATTTCTTTGCTACTAACTCTCACTTTCTTTTTCAGGTTCCAGCTTCGTAGTTTTTGATATTAGTTTCAGGCTTCGTTATTTTTGGTAAATATTTTCTTTTTGCTTTTTAATTTTTTTTTTTTGTATAGTATTTTTTTTTTCTTCATTACTAACTCCTACTTTCTTTTTAGATTTTAGGATTTATAGTTTTCAGTACTAGTTCCAGGCTTGTTTCAGTGAGAATTTATTTTCCGAATCTTTTTTTTTTTTGTGAATATTGGTGATTTTTTTCGGTGCTAACCCTATTTTCTTTTCAGGTTCCAGGATTCATCACTTTCGATACATAAGTTCAGGCTTTATTGTTTTTAGTAGATATTTCTGCCTTCTGATTTTTTTTTTGTAGATATTGGTATTTTTATTTATTACTGCCCTACTTTCTTTTTTAGGTTCTAGAATTCACAGCTTTTAGTGTGTAGGTTCAGGCTTTGTTAGTATTGTCTTTTTATCTTCTGATATTTTTTTTGTAGATATTGGTGTCTTTTTCTTTATTACTAACTTCTATTTTCTTTTATACTCCAAGATTCGTAGTTTTTAGTGCTTAAGTTCCAATTTTCATCATTTATGGTAGGTATTTCTGCCTTCTGAATTTTTTTTTTTTTGGATATCAATATTTTTGTTATTACTGACTTTACTAATTTTCTTTTTCGGTTTTTTTTTCAGGTTTCAGATTTCATCATTTCAGTGCAAAGTTCTGGAGCCTCATCATTTTCGATACACCTTTTTACTTTTTATTTTTATTTTTTGTTTTTTATTTGCTACTAACTCTCACTAACTTCTTTTTCGAATTTTTAGCTTTATTATTTCAGTATACAATACCTTTTACTTTCTGGATTTTTTTTTTTGTGCATAATACTTGTTTTTCGTTACTAATTTACACTGTTTGTACAATTAATGTAAAGTGATTTTTTGTACTGTGTTGCTTGAATTTTGCCTAGCATTTGTTTACTGGAATGTGTGGGTAGATGGGGTAGATGGGTTTTATTTCTTGTCCAACTGAAGCGGGTGAGTAAGCAAATTTTAGCTTGATATAAAATGATGCTTATTATGTAATAATGATTTATTTTTTAAAATAAAATAAAAATTTACAAGCGGGTAATGTTTTGTTGCACAATAGCAATATTTATTTATTTATTTATTTATTAATTTTATTTTTTTAAATCTAACCAATTAATATAAGTCTGTTAAGATATAAACTTGAAAGGTTAAAAGCCAATCAGAATACTTTTAACATGAATAGTCATATTGCAGAGCTTTAATTAAATACTCAGTCTTGGCAATATGAATAGTTATTTGGCAACTTGCTAGCTATATATGTATCTGTTCATATATGTGTGTACGACGTATATACGTATTTTTTTTTAATAAAAAATACATAAACTATTTTTATTAGATACCTTAAAAATATGAGTTTTGTACTGTATGTTGATTTTTTACTATATTGGTCAAAAATATATAAGTTTTAAAACAAGCATCTCTATTTATTATTTATATATAGCAAAAACAATAAAACAAATTATAAATAGCTATATTCTAAATATGAAAAAAAATCTATTTTTATACTTATCTAAACTATAAATTTTTAACAAAGCTAAAAAATATATATAAACTATACAATCTACAGTATATTACCTCTTATTAGTTTTCTAGATCTAACTTTTCTATTTTAAAATTATTACTTATTTTTCTATATTATTATTTATCCAATTTTTTATATAAACGATTGCTCTTTCAGTTTTTGATATCAAACGAGTTTTAATACTTGTATTTCTAATAATGCAGATTGCCTGAATTGAAAGATAATCTCAGGCTATTTTATTTAAAATAGAATATTATTTGATATATGCTTGCCACTATAAAAAGGGATCGATTTTTTTGTCTTCTGGCAATATAAGATATTGGTTTAACTCTGATAATAGTAAGGTAATAGAACTTGAGAATTCATTATTAAGTGCCGTTTCTTGTTTAATATTGTTGACAGCAAAACTCAGTCTATTGGTAGACAATATGGTAGTGTTAATTGCATTAAACATAGTTTTAATTTGTTCATACACGTTTTGTATTAAGTAAGCTGAAAAAACTAAATGTTTAATCTGAGAGTCCAAAATAGCTAAAAATATAAAGGATTGATCTATTATTCCGAGAGTTTTTGCAATATTGATACTACTAATTCACATTGTGTAAAATTCTTCTCTCCTATAAAGTCTTTTAGATGCATTTAAATTTTTTTGAAAATAAACCAAATATCATCTAAAGTTGGATATGATTCGTAAAAATACATTGTGGTTTGTTCAAATAGTTTAAGAGCTAGGAGAGTATTCTATTTAAAATAAAATAATTAGAATATAATATTATAATCTTATAATTTTTTAACATTTACTAACATTTATTGCAACCCATTCTGCTTTATTAAAGGAAAAATTGTTAACTATTTGGTTATTAGCTACAAGTAAGTCCAAAGTAGGTTTAAGTGCTTGTATATATTCTAACATAAAAATCATCAAATTCCAACTTTTTTTTAAATTTATATCAGACTTAAGATCTAATATTTCTAAGTTACTAGAATGATAGAACTCATAACTAAAAGATGCCAAATTTTTTATTTTAATTATTAATGCTAGAATTTTATTATTAAGTTGGTTATGAGCTAATTCTAAACCTTGTTCTATATTTAAGTCTAAAGCACGCAATGCGCAATAGTAGTGTGAAAAGGTTATTAAAAATGCTAAATCAAAATTTATGCTGTTGTTCGTGATAAACGCAATAACTTTATAACAAATATTGAACTTATCTAAAATATTTAAAATTATTTAAATAATATTAACCTCCGGTTGACTAGTGTTAAGTAGAATTATCTCAAGCAAAACATTTTGTCATTGCTAGTTGAAATTAATATAGTGGGCTATAATTTTCAGAGAAATCTTTTGACCAATAGTTGAAGCCAATATATTGGCTGTAATTGAATATTTTCTGGAAATATTATTAAGTTTATCTATAATCTTGGGTCTTTGAACATTAAACTCATTAATTATTAAATCTTTTACTTGATATTGATCAGAAATTATATAATGTAGATACAGATCATTAATAAATGATCGAAAATAACTATTATTGACAACTATGAATAATTCTTCATCGTAAATTTTACAACTTTAAGGTTATTTGCACATATATTTATACTTTTTGTGAATAAAAAGGTTTGGTTAACAATTGTTTTGTATTGTATTAGCATATTAGATTATTTAAGAGTATATCAGAGATTTCAAAATGCGAGTAAAATCTCTAAATATATAATTACAAACTGGTTAAGATGATTGCCAAGAAAATTTAATTTAGCCTATCAATTCAAGACAATTGTTTTTGTGAATGATTTGAAATAAGGCGTTATATGAATTAATAAACTACATTTTAGTAAACAGGGTGTTGAAAGAATTAATAATTAACAGATAGATCTTATTTACATCATTTATGCAATAAAGTTTTTACTGTTTACAATGTTAAAATTGTTCACTCTGTTTACACGTATATACTAATTAATCAAAAGACTACAATAGATTATCCCTTAGATTGTAGTAAAATACAGGCAAATTTGCCTGCGTTTTTACACTTTTTTAGCTCTGATTTACTTTTTTAAAATGCTAAAATAATTAAAT